CGTGTCGTGTGCTTCCGTGGTGCCATTTCAAAAAAGAATAAAGTAAAGAGAAAATTAAGAGTAAGAGAACCGACGGTTACCTGAACGAGTGACGATTGATGAAGTTCTGAAAATCCTTTGCAGTCGGCTTGTCAGAGCAGGCGGTAGGCAGAAAGGGTCCAAAATGTCAAAGCAAGTTCAGGGGTCCGAATGTTCTCTCACAAAGTTTTCAAGTGTGAAAATGACCGAAGTCAACACTCCTTTATATAGGCGAAGTGAGAAGGCGAAGGGTCACTTCCAGAATTCAAAATTTTGGCGGGAGAATCTCTCGGCCTCTCGCCGAGTGACACCTGTAGCAGGCCGTCGCCTGTTACAGGGCGATACCTGTCACAGGTAACACGTGACCAGTCACGTGCCACCTGTGAAGGGCAAATGATTAGGGGATTTTTCCCCACTAATCACCATCTGACAAGTGGACCAATCAGGTTCCGCCATGTGTCCGTCACATGGGCCAATAGGAGCCTGCCACGTGTCAAGCAATGATCCGTCCACTATGGACCAATTACGACACAACACGTGTCCTTCCCATGAAACCTGGGATAACCGGTCACCTAGGCCCAACTTCTGAGGAAAGCCCAATCAGCCCAAGGTTAACCTAAACCTAGATTGACACGTTTCCCGAGGTTATAAATACCTCCCTTAATCCCCATTATGGGAGATAACGCTAAAAACGCAGATTACACACATTAAACACTCTCACCTAGAGAGACCCAATCACTTTAATTTCCGCATTAATTACTCCTTAATCAAGTACTAACTTGACCGTCGGAGGCGGATCTCCAATCATCCGGAGCATCCGTTTGTTTTGCAGGTACAGGCGTCCGGTTCCAGTCTCGGAATTGTAACTCTCCCGCAGGACATCAGAAAACCCCGAAACATGTGTTTTTCTCAACAGAAAACCGAAGCTATTTATAGAAGAATTAGGAAGTTAAAATAGTCGTTGCCTCAATCACCACTCAACCATAACTCCCTTAATGTTAGGAAGTGTAAGGAGTGGGATCTTGGGCAGCAAGTAAAACCGTAACTAAAGGAAGTGGTTTTACTGCTTCCTTAATTTTCTCAAAAATACTTTTGACAAAGTAAACACACGTTTATATAAAGATTTTCCAAAAACCGATTTCCTAAAAAGATAGGCATGAGCAAAACAGAAAATCTTTTCACAAAAGATATTTTAACTTAAAAGATATTTTTCGAAAATTAACAAGTTAAAATATGGAAAATAAAATCTTTATCATATATAAAATTAAATCCACTTAAATCCTAAATTATCATTGTACTTAGCATAAATACAAGAAGCCTAAAATAAAGATAAAATACATTAGACTCCTTGAAACTCTGAGAAGCTTCGACTCTGAAGCTTCAGTTCCTCACTCAAGGAATTCGCCTTCGAAGCTTCAACTCTGGAGCTTCAATTCCTCACTAAGGAACACGACTTGTGATTGATTTCTTTATCCTCCCATAGCTAACTTAGACCTTGTTCCATGCTCCCTTCTCACTCAAGAATTTCATAGCATAAACTTGTCATTAATCAAAGCTAAAAACGAAAGTTAAACTTATATGGGTTTGCTTAGGTTCCTTGAGTCATCATCAAAACATAAGGTCAACAATAATCCCCCTTTTTTTATGAATGAAAAACCTAAGAAAACTCAGTAAAATAAAGAAGTGACTATCAGAAAAAAAAAAAAAAAAAAAAAAAAAGAACTAAAGTTAGAGAAAAAACCGAACTATAAATATTTACAAGGAACTGAGACTGATGATTATACCTAAAACATGAAGATGGATGGAGAGCTTGTCAACAATTTAGTTTGCCTTTCTTTTCCCCCTTTTGGCTTTCATCAAAATTAATGCACATATATATCTAAACACAGCACCATTATAATGGTTTGTGTCCAAAGCACAGAACAAAGCACATATAGGCAAATAGTATGCAAATAGTGATAAAGCAAGCAAGCAACATCCATATAAACAAACTGATGTTCCTCCAGAACCTCAAAAACAAAAGCAAATACCTTGTTTAATTGTTTACAGACCAAAAGAAGCAAAAGAAAACCAAGTTCAATACGGACCAAGTTCAAAAGAGACAATTTCATAGGATAAGCAGAAAGAAAATAAAATTAAGCTTCAGGGGCTAAGGACTGATGCTCTTCTTCGGCAACTTCAACTGGAACTTCTTCAACAACTAAGTCCTCCAGCTTCTTCAACAGATCTGTCTGGCCTTGAGAGAGAGTTGAGGTGCTCTCCTTCATTTCTGTGGTTAGTTCCTTAGAGGCTTGTACCAGGTCTCCTACCAGTTTCTCAAGAGCCCCAATCCTTAGAAGCAGTGCCGGTTGAGCATCAGACAGTAACTTAACATCATCTTTGAGAGCCTTTAGTTCCAAAGTGGAAATAACAGAACTGAAAGCAGCAAATCCTGAACCTGCACCTATTGGAACAGAACGGGTTACAGTTTCTTGCACAAACATGCCCTGTTCCCCCTGAACAAATTCTTTCTCCTCACTGAGATCAATAAAAGCTGGTGGAGCCTCAACTTTCATCTTAAGCTTTATAGCCAACATAGTACTCTTCCTCTTCCCTGCACTTGGAGCACTGCTTTTCTTGCCCTTCTTTTCAGAACCTTCTTCTTTGCCTTTCATTTTTTCTTTCTTTTCTTCTTCTCCTTCACTATCCTATCCTTCCAGCCATTTATCCAACTCCTCCTCCTCAGTCATGATCTTAACTTCTTCCTTAGCTTTGATCGGGGTTTGTTTTGGAAGAAACTGGGTAACACCATTAACAACATGCAAGTTTCTGCTTTCAAGGGTTTTAGGTTGAACAAAGTGGTTAGTTTGTAGTTTGAGATGTTCACAATTCTCCACTGAGATACAAAAATCTCTATGAGAGTGATGATTAGGTTTGCATATCCAACCTTCAATTGATTTGCAAGGCAGTGAGTGAGGTGTTTTATCATGATGGATGGAAAGTTGATTTGTATCTTGTTTTCAAGGCAGTACATGAGCATGACATCAAGGTGATTAGCCTCGTGCCTGTGCTGGGTTCTAGGAACAATGGCTAAGTGAACGAAAATAAATAGCAATTTCTGAATGGGTGAGAACAGGTTATGATTGGTTTGTACCTTGGACACTTTCCCACCAATTGATTCCACAATTTCTTTTATAGATACATCACCAACACTTAAATCAGTAGCACCTTTAAAATACTCATCAAACCCCTCATTTGGAGTTCCAAAAATAGCACATAGATAATCAGCATCAAAACTAATTTTCTTATTTTTAACCCTAGACACACATACACCATCAATATTTTTGAAATTTGCACAAAATTCTTTTAAAGGAGCATGAGCAAGCACGTTATGTAGCTTTCACTAAAAAATTGCACCCAATTTTGAGCCTCTAAATTTTCAAGTAATTCAGAGTACTTACTTACTTCACACCAAGGTAAATTGATGCAAAATCCATGAATGAAGCGATCAGAGCTTGCTTCAATTTTCTTAATTGATGGAGTCTTTTCCAATTGAATCTTTTCACCCAATTCCTCCCAGCCTTGATCCTCATGTTCCTCTAGCTTCCGTTTCTTCGATTCACTACGAGCTACTGGCATGTTCTTTGGTTTTACAACCGAGGCTTTGGCTTGATTTTCTTGCTCGATCTCCATGGGTGAGTCTTTTTGAGAGGTAATTTGTGGTTTTGATGAAATATCCATAGGAGAATATGCTGAATCAGTAAAATGTAGTGTATATTTTATGGAGTGAGGAGGTGAGGAACAATGTGTAGGGTTTGGCGTCATTTTATAGGGATGGGAATTTCAAGGGTTAAAAGAGTCGGTGGAAGAGTGTGGAAGGTTAATGAATGGAGTAGGTGTCGATTGATGAAGGATAGAGGAAGAAATTACTTTTAACTTGGTCAAATTAAAATTTAATGTGATTTGACATGAAGGGTCTTGGTTAAATGAAGATAATATTTGATCAGAAACTTTGAATTTAATTCGAAGAGTCTTGGGTATTTGAATAAAAAATTTGTAATTAGATTTGAATTTTAAGGATAAACACTTGAAAATAATTCAAAATCAGAATAAGAAGATAAGATTTTCAAATAGATAAAATTAATAAACTGACTAGCTGATAAAATATTTCGGAGGAACTTGGAACAAATCAACATAGATTGTTATAACATAGATATGCCCAATTCAATTTGATTTCTTCACATACAACCATAATCCCATATGCAATGCCATACATTCTTATGCTCAGGACTATGTTTTCACATATTCAGTTTGTGTAAGACATACATTGCATACATAGTTGAATTATACCTTTGAGGGGGAACTTGAGGTCTTTTTAACTCAATTGTATCATACCAAGTTCCATGTGCATCTTTTCAAATTTATCCCTGCTCAAAGGCTTAGTAAGAATGTCAGCAATTTAATTTTCAGTATCACAAAAATCCAACTTAGTTAAGCCTTTTTCCACATAATCCTTAAGAAAATGATGCCTTATGTGAATATGCTTCACACGAGAATGATGAACTGGATCTTTTGAAATGCATATGGCACTTGTATTATCACAATAAATAGGAATGCAATTATACTTCATACCGTAATCTCTTAATTGTTGTTTTATCCAAAGAACTTGAGAACAACAAGGTGCAACAGTTGATAAGGCCACTGTATTTTGTTTCTTGGAGCCCTAAGAAACTAGAAATGGTCCAAGGAAATGGACCATTCCTGAAGTACTTTTTCTATTCACCAAATCTCCTGCACAGTCAGCATCTACAAAACCTTTTAACACTAGGCGAAAATACGTAATGGCCACCGGTTGAAAACCCCCCATTGCCACCGGTTTTGAACCGGTGGTCATTTGGGGGGTGGCAATACAGCAACGCATGGCCACCGGTTCAAAACCGGTGGCAAAAGTCCTCATGGCCACCGGTTAACCGATGGTAATAATAATTATGGCCACCGGTTAACCGGTGGCAATAATAATGGCGCGGCTTTTTTTTTTGAGGGGAAGGCTGACTATTGCCACCAGTTTGAACCGGTAAACCGGTGGCAATAATAGGGATCTTTTTTTTTTTTTTTTTTTTTTTGCTTGCAATTATTCCTGCAACTGATCCTGCTATAATATTCTACCATATTATTGCTATAAATTCTGCCATAATATAATTATTATTAATAATCATAACAAGAATTAAAAATATATATTTAGACTTTTATAATTAAAAACCAAATGCAATACAACAAATAAAGTGTGATATATACATAAATACAAACAATACTAATAACTAGTCAATATTGTAATCAAAAAGTTAATAATTAACAAAGTATAAATTCAAAATGATGCCACATTTACAAATTGAAGGTGATGAAAGATACCAACATGTCTCGAACTTCATTAAGGTCCTTACTTGTTAGCGCATCTCCCTTTTGCACCTTGCAAAACTTGGAATATATATAAATTATGTTAGGATAAATTAAATTAATTAGTTAAGTTAAACATGTGAGTAATAAGTATGAAAAAAATTAAATACTTAGGTCAAAACGGTCAAAAAGAAGGCCTAAAAGACTTCTACTTGCCCATTTTCTACATTTTTAAACAATTGACCAAGTTCTTTCTCATAACATGTCAATTATACTTAGTTATAGGTGGCTAAGCCTTGAAATCACAGAAAAAGGGCATTTTACTAAGTTTAAGGTCGCATTTTCAGCCAAAATAGCCTAAATAAGGCCTATTTGACTTCTACTTGCCCATTTTCTACATTTTTTAACAAATGACCAAGTTCTTTCTCATAACATGTCAATTATACTTAGTTATAGGTGGCTAAACCTTGAAATCACAGAAAAAAAGAGCATTTTACTAAGTTTAAGGTTGCATTTTCACCAAAAATAGACTAAATAAGGCCTATTTAACTTCTAATTGCCCATTTTCTACATTTTTAAACAAATGACCAAGTTCTTTATAATAACATGTCAGTTATACTTAGTTATAGGTGGCTAAGCCTTGAAATCACAGAAAAAGAGCATTTTACTAAGTTTAAGGTCGCATTTTCATCCAAAACAGCCTAAATAAGGCCTGAATGACTTCTACTTGCCCATTTTCTACATTTTTAAACAAAGGACCAAGTTCTTTCTCATAACATGTCAATTATACTTAGTTATAGGTGGCTAAGCCTTGAAATCACAGAAAAAGAGCATTTTACTAAGATTAAGGTCGCATTTTCATCCAAAATAGCCTAAATAAGGCCTATTTGACTTCTAATTGCCCATTTTCTACATTTTTAAACAAATGACCAATTTCTTTATCATAACATTTCAATTATACTTAGTTATAGGTGGCTAAGCCTTGAAATCACAGAAATAGAGCACTTTGCTAAATTTAAGGTCGCATTTTCATCCAAAATAGCCTAAATAAGGCCTAAATGACTTCTACTTGCCCATTTTCTACATTTTTAAACAAATGACCAATTTCTTTCTCATAACATGTCAATTATACTTAGTTATAGGTGGAGAAGCCTTGAAATCACAGAAAAAGGGCATTTTACTAAGTTTAAGGTCGCATTTTCATCCAAAATAGCCTGAATAAGGCCTAAATGACTTCTACTTGCCCATTTTCTACATTTTTAAACAAATAACCAATTTCTTTCTCATAACATTTCAATTATACTTAGTTAATGGTGGCTAAGCCTTGAAATCACAGAAAAAGAGTATTTTACTAAGTTTAAGGTCGCATTTTCATCCAAAATAGCCTTAATAAGGCCTAAATAATTTCTACTTGCCCATTTTCTACATTTTTAAACAAATGACAAATTTCTTTCTCATAACATGTCAATTATACTTAGTTATAGGTGTAGAAGCCTTGAAATCACAGAAAAAGGGCATTTTACTAAGTTTAAGGTCGCATTTTCATCCAAAATAGCCTGAATAAGGCCTAAATGACTTCTACTTGCCCATTTTCTACATTTTTAAACAAATAACCAATTTCTTTCTCATAACATTTCAATTATACTTAGTTAATGGTGGCTAAGCCTTGAAATCACAGAAAAAGAGTATTTTACTAAGTTTAAGGTCGCATTTTCATCCAAAATAGCCTTAATAAGGCCTAAATAATTTCTACTTGCCCATTTTCTACATTTTTAAACAAATGACAAATTTCTTTCTCATAACATGTCAATTATACTTAGTTATAGGTGTAGAAGCCTTGAAATCACAGAAAAAGGGCATTTTACTAAGTTTAAGGTCGCATTTTCATCCAAAATAGCCTGAATAAGGCCTAAATGACTTCTACTTGCCCATTTTCTACATTTTTTAACAATTTACCAAGTTCTTTCTCATATCATGTCAATTATACTTAGTTATAGGTGGATAAGCGTTGAAATCACATAAAAAGAGCATTTTACTAAGATTAAGGTCGCATTTTCATCCAAAATAGCCTAAATAAGGCCTAAATAATTTCTACTTGCCCATTTTCTACATTTTTAAACAAATGACAAATTTCTTTCTCATAACATGTCAATTATACTTAGTTATAGGTGTAGAAGCCTTGAAATCACAGAAAAAGGGCATTTTACTAAGTTTAAGGTCGCATTTTCATCCAAAATAGCCTGAATAAGGCCTAAATGACTTCTACTTGCCCATTTTCTACATTTTTTAACAATTTACCAAGTTCTTTCTCATATCATGTCAATTATACTTAGTTATAGGTGGATAAGCGTTGAAATCACATAAAAAGAGCATTTTACTAAGATTAAGGTCGCATTTTCATCCAAAATAGCCTAAATAAGGCCAATTTGACTTCTACTTGCCCATTTTCTACACTTTTTAACAAATGACCAAGTTCTTTCTCATAACATGTCAATTCTACTTAGTTATAGGTGGCGAAGCCTTGAAATCACAGAAAAAGAGCATTTTACTAAGTTTAAGGTCGCATTTTCATCCAAAATAGCCTAAATAAGGCCTATATGACTTCTACTTGCCAATTTCCACATTTTTAAACAAATGACCAAGATCTTTCTCATAACATGTCAATTATACTTAGTTATAGGTGGATAAGCGTTGAAATCACATAAAAAGAGCATTTTACTAAGTTTAAGGTCGCATTTTCATTCAAAATAGCCTTAATAAGGCCTAAATGACTTCTACTTGCCAATTTTCTACATTTTTAAACAAATGACCAAGTTCTTTCTCATAACTTAACAATTATACTTAGTTATAGGTGGCGAAGCCTTGAAATCACAAAAAAAAGAGCATTTTACTACGTTTAAGGTCGCATTTTCATCCAAAATAGCCTAAATAAGGCCTATTTGACTTCTACTTGCCCATTTTCTACATTTTTTAACAAATGACCAAGTTATATCTCATATCATGTCAATTATACTTATTTATAGGTGGCTAAGCCTTGAAATCACAGAAAAAGAGCATTTTACTAAGTTTAAGGTCACATTTTCATCCAAAATAGCCTAAATAAGGCCTAAATGACTTCTACTTGCCCATTTTCTACATTTTTAAACAAATGACCAAGTTCTTTCACATAACATGTCAATTCTACTTAGTTATAGGTGGCTAAGCCTTGAAATCACAGAAAAAGAGCATTTTACTAAGTTTAAGGTCGCATTTTCATCCAAAATAGCCTAATTAAGGCCTAAATGACTTCTACTTGCCCATTTTCTTCATTTTTAAACAAATGACCAAGTTCTTTCACATAACATGTCAATTCTACTTAGTTATAGGTGGCTAAGCCTTGAAATCACAGAAAAAGAGCATTTTACTACGTTTAAGGTCGCATTTTCATTCAAAATAGCCTTAATAAGGCCTAAATGACTTCTACTTGCCCATTTTCTACATTTTTAAACAAATGACCAAGTTCTTTCTCATAACTTGACAATTATACTTAGTTATAGGTGGCGAAGCCTTGAAATCACAGAAAAAGAGCATTTTACTAAGTTTAAGGTCGCATTTTCATCCAAAATAGCCTGAATAAGGCCAATTTGACTTCTACTTCCCATTTTCTACACTTTTTAACAAATGACCAAGTTCTTTCTCATAACATGTCAATTATACTTAGTTATAGGTGGATAAGCGTTGAAATCACATAAAAAGAGCATTTTACTAAGTTTAAGGTCGCATTTTCATTCAAAATAGCCTTAATAAGGCCTAAATGACTTCTACTTGCCAATTTTCTACATTTTTAAACAAATGACCAAGTTCTTTCTCATAACTTGACAATTATACTTAGTTATAGGTGGCGAAGCCTTGAAATCACAGAAAAAGAGCATTTTACTACGTTTAAGGTCGCATTTTCATCCAAAATAGCCTAAATAAGGCCTATTTGACTTCTACTTGCCCATTTTCTACATTTTTTAACAAATGACCAAGTTATATCTCATAACATGTCAATTATACTTATTTATAGGTGGCTAAGCCTTGAAATCACAGAAAAAAAGAGCATTTTACTAAGTTTAAGGTCGCATTTTCATCCAAAATAGCCTGAATAAGGCCTATTTGACCTCTACTTGCCCATTTTCTACACTTTTTAACAAATGACCAAGTTCTTTCTCATAACATGTCAATTATACTTAGTTATAGGTGGCTAAGCCTTGAAATCACAGAAAAAAAGCATGTTACTAAGATTAAGGTCGCATTTTCATCCAAAATAGCCTAAATAAGGCCTATTCGACTTCTAATTGCCCATTTTCTACATTTTTAAACAAATGACCAACTTCTTTATAATAACATGTCAATTATACTTAGTTATAGGTGGCTAAGCCTTGAAATCACAGAAAAAGAGCATTTTACTAAGTTTAAGGTCGCATTTTCATCCAAAACAGCCTAAATAAGGCCTGAATGACTTCTACTTGCCCATTTTCTACATTTTTGAACAAAGGACCAAGTTCTTTCTCATAACATGTCAATTATACTTAGTTATAGGTAGCTAAGCCTTGAAATCACAGAAAAAGAGCATTTTACTAAGATTAAGGTCGCATTTTCATCCAAAATAGCCTAAATAAGGCCTATTTGACTTCTAATTGCCCATTTTCTACACTTTTAAACAAATGACCATGTTCTTTCTCATAAGATGTCAATTATACTTAGTTATAGGTGGCTAAGCCTTGAAATCATAGAAAAAGAGCATTTTACTAAGTTTAAGGTCGCATTTTCATCCAAAATAGCCTAAATAAGGCCTATTCGACTTCTAATTGCCCATTTTCTACATTTTTAAACAAATGACCAAGTTCTTTCTCATATCATGTCAATTATACTTATTTATAGGTGGCTAAGCCTTGAAATCACAGAAAAAGAGCATTTTACTAAGATTAAGGTCGCATTTTCATCCAAAATAGCCTAAATAAGGCCTATTCGACTTCTAATTGCCCATTTTCTACATTTTTAAACAAATGACCAAGTTCTTTATAATAACATGTCAATTATACTTAGTTATAGGTGGC